GTTATATTATCTTCTTAGAAATAAATAATTAGTATTAAAATGTTAAATTTCCATCGCAACAGAGTCTGCACTCTCCTTGTATAGCCATCTTGGAGTTTAGTATAATTCCATGTTATTTAATAGCCAGGACAACAGATATCTTAATTCAGTTCTCATTAATTTAATGTTCTTTGATTCAAATATTAGGGAAAAATGGATCCAAGAAAATGTTTAGAACTTTTTATCAATCGCCCCATTTCTGCCATGTGACATAACTGGCAGATCTCTCTTTAGAGTGTTATGTCACTCTTCTGATTGTAAAAGTAATTTCTAAAGTAGAGAATTGGATTTTCAATAAAGGTATAAAGAAAAAAATTTGAATTTACACTTAAGGATACCACACAGAGATAATTTGCTGTTAACACATTAATCCTGTTTCATTTTGGACATCTATTGTATTTTGTAAATATTTTCATTGCATGAAATATGTGTCATATTTAGTGCTGCAACAAATAATATAGGGTTTACTTTATAGGCACCAGTCAGAAGACAGATGAAAGCTAAGCAACTCAATGCACAATCTTATGGTGTGACCAGTTCAACAGCTCGGAGAATATTGCAGTCTTTAGAGAAGATGTCAAGCCCTCTAGCGGTAAATTTTTAAAATCACAATTAAATACAGGAGTGCAACAAAATTTGATATTAGTGAAAAATATTAATTTTATTATTTCAACTTTAACAGGATGCAAAAAGAATTCCATCTGTTTCTTCTCCTCTGAATTCTGTAAGTTGACTTGTAAACCTTTTTAAAGAATAAAATTTTCAGAATTTTCCATTTATTCTAATAGTATTTTATTTTTTCAGCCTCTTGATAGGAGTGGGATAGATACCATAGACTTTCATGCCAAAAGAAAAAAGGTAAGACGTCTATAGCATTTAGTTATTTAAAGTGTCAGGAATTTTGTTATATTTAAAGTTTGCAAGTACACAAATTAGATTTAGTTGATAATCATTAAGGGTACATGTTTGAAAAATAAGTTTCTTTTACTTGGACATTATAGCCTCTTCTGAGGGCCTCAGAACAATGCTGTATATATATGGTAGATGCTCATTCAGTATGTTTTAGTTATTTGGCATTTCCTTCTTCAGGATCTTGACAGTCTTTATGGCTTACTCCTGCCTTTCGATAAATAAAAATAGGAGTGAGCAAAGGTTGAAATATTTAGTAATTAGAAGTTCAGTGTACTAAAGCCTTCATTAAATGTAGTCATCTTTGTAAACTTCCTCCTCAAACAACGTGTCAAATCTGTTGTGTGTAGTAGAATTTGAATTTGGTATGTCTCATCAGGCAGCCAAAATCTTGTTCATGATAACAGAGCTAATAAAAAATATAATATAGATTACTATCTTGATACCTTTTAGTGTATTACATTTGGTAAAAATTAGCTTTGGAGGTTACTGTGGGAGAAAATACAATTCTTGCTAGTTTGGGTTAAAAAGTTGTGTTTTTTTGTTAGTTTATGGCTGGTTGATTCCCAGATCCTTACTTATGAAAGCAATTATTACAACACCAAGTTCCTCAAAAGTAATTATTAAAATTACTGTAATTCCATGAATTAATTGTGGGGATTATATGTGAGATATTGCTAAATTATAATTTTGCTGAAATACTGATGTGGAGAAGAAAGCTAAAATTAAATTTTTTCTTAGAAGAGTGTTGTTTCTCAATTTTCAGAATTACCTAGATGTTTGCAATTAGGCAAGAGGGAATCCACTGTTACTTACGGATAGGATTAATTTAAACTGTTAGCATTTTTCAAATCCCCATTTACATCAGATTTTTAAAAAAGAAGTAAATTTTGACTGGGTGTGGTGGCTCACGCCTGCAATCCTAGCACTTTGGGAAGCTTGAGGCCGGAATTTGAGACCAGCCTGAGCAACGTAGCGTCTGTCTCTACAAAAATTCAACAGAGTTAGCCGGGCGGGGTGGTATGTGCCTATAGTCCCAGCTACTTGGGAGGCTGAGGCAGGAGGATAGCTTGAGCCCAGGAATTTGAGGTT